GCTTCAGAACAGTCCCTCCATGTGCCCCTGGACCTTCGTTCTACGGTCGGAGGAGGCCAAGCAATTCGACCGGTCCAGGGACTATGAGAAAGCCGAACTACGTTTCCCGGAATGCGCTAGGCGCAGCCACTTCCGGTCCCGAGGTACCCAAACGGTATCATTGTGGAGTTGTTGCCAAGGAGACAAGTCCAGGGGTATTGGGTCCTTGACGCCAGCGAACAGAGGGGCAGGAGTTAGAGGAGAGAGCTAGAGGAAGGATGAATGGGAAATTTTGTTATAAAGCAACGCTAAAGAGTATGTCCCCTCTGTTTGCCTAACTTTCACAGACGCTCAGGGCGAAAGAGATCGTCGCACAGCCCTCTGGGAAGTGCAAGCGACGCTGCCCCCAAAACTATGGGAAATGTAGTCCCTGATTACCTGCCACCTCCTCTAGCATATGGACAAGCCAGGCACGCCGAGAACAAGGAAGAAATCCCTTTACCTTCTTGTCCGCTCATAGGCAAATTTTGCCTCCTAAGTACTTACGGAATTTGTTCCAATCTTATGCCAGCCTTCAGTGCTGTGTTTCAGACACTTTACATTTCCTAAGTGGAGCATTTACCTGGTTTACCTGACTCCAGTCGTCTGCTTATTAAGTCTGTTCTCCACGCCTCCATCAGGGTAATCTATCCCTGCTTTGCTTCCGGTTCTTCAATGGCTAATAGAATCAAGTCTCTGCTCCTTCGCTGACGTGTATATTTGACCTCACCTGTCTCCCACTATTCTCCTCCTCGTAGAGAAGAATCCTATTTACAGTTCTTCATCTCATTTATGACTGATACCTTAAAGCCATTGCCACTATTTTTTAAAATGCAGAGCTCAACTTCCTGCTTTTAACAGTCGCACCCTAAAAGGGTGATAAATTCCAAGTGTGGCTGGATTTGCAAAGTAGACATATTCTTGAAAAGCACTTGAAATCGGTTTCTATGAGAAGAAACCAAGTTCATCATTTACTCTGATAAAATTAGCATTTTATTCCTCTGAACAAAATATTTCATGATATGGTTAACTAGGTGTTTTCTGGGCTTTTTGAAGTCACACAGAAGAACAAATGGTTCTTTATGAATAAAGTACTTGTCGTAAAACTCCAGCAACACTGTAAATGTACAAGAGATGGGTTATTTTTATTTCAAGATCTATAATTATGCATGATCGAAAGAGTAAATCTTCAGAGGCCTTAGAGAAAGGATACATATTTTAAAAGCCTGTCAAAAAACCTAGATAGGAATGAACTGTACAGTGCAGAAAGAGAAATGATGTGTTGTTCACATCAAAGCACCAAGAACTTTCCTTCTGAAGTGGGAATAGTTGGCATACACAACATTTCCATTGCCTTTTATCTTCAGTAGGAAGAATGGCCCGTATCATAAATATAGAGAATTATTTAACTGATAAAGCAGTTTAGAAGTCATATCAAAAATATGTAATCTGTTCATTCAAGTTTCCTCCCTCCTCATTTATTTAATTTCTTTGATTTTGGTTTTTAAAACATGGAACCATTCATTTCTTGCCAGAGGAAAGAGTATATTCATTGAGAAAGCAACAGCCAAGGCCAGGATATTCATGTAACTCTCAACAATTAGGTGGGGAAGGTGCATTCATCTCCTTGAAGGTCAAGATTTAGAAGAGCCATATTTCAGAGTAATTTTCTTAAGTGGTACAAACCCAGTTACCTTTTAAATGGATAATAGCAGAACTGCATTTTTAAATTAACTGCTGTACATCCTCAGTTACCAGCAAAACTCTACTCTTTGTTATAGCAGACTAGCCTATCCTGCGGATATACGGGTCTTCTGGTGTTCCACAAAGAGTATAATGATCTCTGGGAGCTTTGCCTGAACGATTTTGAGACATGGACATTTGAGTTATGATGTAAGTGAATAAGTCATATAATAGTTTTCTTTACAATGGATAGAGCTTCTGAATACTACTTGATCATTTGTTTGGTTCAAAGAAATAGGGCGTTATTTAATAGATCTATCTGCAACATACTTGCAAACCATCTTCTGGGTGCTCTGCTTCAAAAACATTTAAAATATACTTCATTTGCCCTGCTATGGTTGTGGTTGTGGTTACTTTACTAGTTTCAGTCTCAGAGGGTGACACTCTTGGCCATGTTATTTGTGGAACCATCTGCCCAGTTACTAAGAGACAGTGGAAGAGCAGAGGTGTGCGGTCCAGGCCTCTGGTAGGCTGAATAATGGCCCCCTAAAATATCAGGTCCTAACCCCTGGAACCTGTAAATGTTACTTTATTTGGAAAAAGGGTCTTTGCAGATGTGATTAAGTTAAGGACTTTTTTTTTTTTTTTTTTTTTTAGCAAGACAGGGTCAAAACAAACTTGCTTGTACAATGAACTATAAACTCACCATATCTGGTTATTCTGAGCATTAAATCTTTTGAACATTTTTACAAATTTGGTGTTACGAGAACATAACATTGTTTTCACATGTATTACATGAAGTAATATTTAAGAATGAAATTCCCCTGATCATGCAAAACTTTTCAGAAGTTGTGTATGTACTCCACCTTCCCATTGCATATGGTGTTCATATCAAGGACATCTAAACAGATATAAAATTTTAGAGAGGTTAAATGCTATTATTCTTCAAAAATATCCTGGGTGAACTGTACACCAGGGCTGCTAGGAGTGTATTCACAATAGCCAAAAGGTGGAAACACCCAAGTGTCCATCAGTAGATGAATGGATAAACAAAACATAGTCTATCCATACAATGGAATATTCAGCCTTAGAAGGAAGGAAATTCTGGCACATTACAACACGGGCTAAACTTGAGATCATTATGCTAAGTGCAATAAGCCAGTCACAAAAAGACAAATACTGTACAATTCCACTTCTATAAGGGACTTAGATGAGTCAAAACCACAAACATAGGAAGTAGAAAGGTGGTTGCCAGGGAATGTGGGGAGGAAGAATGGGGAGTTGTTGTTTAATGGGTAGAGTTTCAGTCAGGGATGATGAAAAAGTTCTGGAGATGGATGGTGGTGACGGTTGCACAACAACGTGAGTGTACTTACTTATTTATTCTTTAGAGACAGGGTCTTGCTTTGTCACCCAGACTGGAGTGCAGTGGCAGTATCACAGCTCACTGAAGCCCTAAACTCCTGGGCTCAAGTGATCCTCCTGCCTCATCCTCCTGAGTAGCTGGGACTACAGGCATGTACCACCACACCCAGCTACTTTTTCTTATTTTTCATATAGAAAAGATTTTATTATGTTGCCCAGGCCGGTCTTGGACTCCTCCCACACCTCAGCCTCCCAAAGTGCTGGGATTATAAGTGTAAGCCACCACACCCCGCCAATGTGAGTGTATTTAATGTTAGTGAACTATACACTTAATATGGTTAAAATGGTAAGTTTTATGTTATATATATTTTATCACAATTAAAAACAGGATAACAGTATTTTTAAAATTTGGAAAAAATCCTAAGTGATCAGGTAAACCTTTTAGGTTTATAATGAAAATAACAATGCATTTCTTATTGTAACAGGAATAGTATTTTGAAAATATTCACCTGCCACATTCTTCATTCCCCTGAAAGTCGTATTTTTGCTCCAGGAAGCTAAGCATTGAGAATGAACTGGCCCGCTACAGGCAGCTGTGGCAAGGGGTAAAGTGATCTTGCCATATAGAGACGAAGAAACCTGGAATTGGTGGGAGGACGCTGCTGACTCTCAGTAGATGGTCTCAGCCCAGCCAGGATGGGGCAGAGTCAACCTGGGGACTGCAGGTTCTAGAATAAGTGGAGAGCCCATGCCATAAGCCTCAAAAGTCTTGGACTTCCCAAGAGATGGCCAGCAGGGAGAAAACAGAGCACCTGCTCTTGGAAGAGCTGCCCCACCCCAACAGGACACACTTTTCAGACACCTTGACATCATCTTGGGGAGAAGGAAGAGGAAGTGGATTGTAACCTTGAATTGATTAAATATTTATCCCAGGGACTGAATTAACCTGAAAGCCTTGAATTGCATGAGGTGGAGATAGTTGATTCTTGTTATTCACAGTAGTTATGTTCTCTAAAGTCACCAAGAACACTGAATTAGCAAATGATGAACAGTTCTCCTAGGGGAAACACAAGGTTAGGTTCCCATGAGCCTCTGTCCCAACATTTCCATCAACTGATCAATACATAACCTTGTTTTATGTGTTTATTTTTAAAGACATTTCATTTAATATACATTGATTCATTATCATTGAACTCATGGCCAACAACCTGTTACACTTGAATGAGCTTATCTAACACACATATTTTCTCCATAAGGCACATCACAAACTTCTTGCACTTAGGAGACCTAGACAGCGCTTCAGCACTATGCTTGGGGGCCATTTTAAACAGCAAAATCACCAAGAAAAAGCACAAAAATGTGGAAATGTGACACGAAGTATTAATAGACCATGAAAAGGACATTTGTTTACAGCATGAGAGCTGAAACAGGAAGGAAGAGTGTCTCTTGTTTGACCTCTGCTGGGAACGTGTGCACTGGGCAATTCAAATTTTTTGCTACTCTACACGTGTCTGCAAATAACTGAGAAAGCGCCACAGTATTGATTTGGGGGTTACAAATAAATTTTAGTGAGTAGGCAAATTCCCAAATACAAAATCTATGAATGAGGATCAATGATGCCTTCATTTAACATTGTTAAGTACTGCAGGTCCCCTCATTATCTGGTGGAGGGGAACATACGAGATTTAAACAAATTATAGAAAATGTGGAATTTTTTTTTTTTGCATATCCAAGAAGTAGTACTTAAGTTTTTGTCTCTACTATTATTTAGAAAAATAGAATGGAAGTTCCGTGAGGGCAAGGATTTTTGTCTTTTTCATTCGTGCTGTATGTAGTCAACAGTTAGAACTGCTGCACACATAGCAGATGCTCAACCAGTTGGTATTTGTTGGGTGAATCAAGGAATGAAAATCACATTCAAACCAATACACATGGATTAAACTACTGTTGTCCCATTGGGCTATGATAGTTACAATTCCACAAGTTTTATAACTTGACATATGTGAAGGAGGGGAAAACCCCTCAAATTTCTAGCTTTGGAATGGTCTGGGGCCAGGAATTCAGAATTTAATGATAGGATTTTTCTCAGCTGAACCAAGGACAGAGAATAGATGGTATGAATCAACTCTCTAGCTGACTGGTACCTTCTAGCAGATAGGAAAATTTCTTCTATAGGCACAGGGGAAGAAAATGTCAGTAGCTGGATGTGATTTCAGATCTGCACTGGGAAAGATGTTGATTTCATTTGGGATGTGGAAGTCCCAGATGAAGGCTGGTTACGTAATAATTGACATCTCCTCCCTGTCTCTGCTCTCAGACATGGAGTTGATTATGCTTTTTAAATATTTTATGAATTCCATCCGGATCTCCTCAGGGTCATCCTCGAGATTCGAGTGCACCAGCTTCAGCTTGTTCAAGGGTGGTGCTTAAAAAGGAAAATAGGTTAATTAGGCCTGGAGTTTTAATGAGGGGCTCTTTCTAGCTCCCAGTGACCTGAGACTCCTAGAAGCCGATTCATTTAACTTTCTAAAGTCCACAAATAAAGTTATGTCTTGCCTGACACAACTGAACAGGGAACAGCTTCACCATACTGCCACCTGGTGATAGGATAGCGACTTTACAAACTACTTCCAGATCCTCTTTGTTCCTAAACCAGAAAGGAATAGATACTCTCTCACTCTCATTTTGTTTCTGAATATTTTCTGAGTTGTTTTTCAGAGTTGTTTCTGAGCTGTCACCTCTGGAATGTGTGTGTCATATGTGAATTGGAGGTTTTTCTTGAGAAAAGATGTCAGGAAAGAGTGTCCCCAACAGTACCAAGGAATGGCTAAAGTTTTTCCCACTCTGAGTGTCTGCCTGCTTCTAAATTGTCTGTATCCTGGCCTGGGTGTATCTTCCAATCTGGCAATTCTGATTTACATGGTGAGAAAAACAAACGTCTAGGACACAATAGGTGCTTAATAACTGCATATAGCCACTGGTTTTAAAGACATATAGAAATATATTAGTGCCCCAAATGTTCAAGACAAAAGGAGAAAGAAATTCCAGTCTCCTTACACAAAGACAGTTTTCCTTTATCACCTCCAGAGCCTGGTTTGTGGTGTGCAATTAACAGGCACTGAGTGTCCTGTAAGAGCTGCTGCTGGACGAAGCAGGAATACCACATTTCTATTTCCTTCCGGTGGCTGGGGATGTCAGGGTTGAAGATGATCACCACTCCGTGAGCATCCTTCATCAGGGCCGGCCAGCAGGACTCGAACCTGCAAGGCGGAGAAAAAGCCAGAGGGGGCCAGGCTCAGTGGCTCATGCCTGTAATCCCAGCACTTTGAGAGGCTGAGGTGGGAGGATTGCTCGAGGCCAGGAGTTCCTAGACCAGCCTGAGCAACATAGCGAGACCCCCGTCTCTACAAAAAATGTAAAAAATTAGCCAAGTGTGGTGGCACATGCCTGTAGTCCCAGCTACTTGGGAGGCTGAGGGAGGAGGATTGCTTGAGGTTGCAGTGAGCTATGATGATGCCACTGCACTCTTGCCTGGGTAACCAAGCGAGACCCTGTCTCAAAAAAAAAAAAAAAAAAAAAAGCCAGAGGAGGGAATGTTAGGTCATTCTGGTTTCTAACTGTGGACTTTAAAAAGAACATCTTGGTATTAATAATGGGTTGATGACTCCTAATTGTATCATAACCCAGGTGCTAAAGTTTATAAAGCAATACATGTCACCAACTAATTTATCAAGCTGCTTATACATGCTGGGAAACATGGTAGGGCCAACCAACTCCATGGTGCTGGTGGATAGCTGATTTGATTTTTACATCACTTGAAGAAGCAGACCTTCTTTGAGGGAAACCTACTTTGTGTCCCCGCCACAGTCCCATAGTTCAAATTCACACCCAGTGCCTTTGTTGTTGCTGGTAACGTTGGGGTTCTCAAATTCCAGAATCCTAAAAATAAAAACAACAGCAGCAGCACCTGTAATTAGGAAACATCATACTTTTGAAATGTCAACAGCACCAAAAGTAGGAGGTGGGTGATGGCTGGGGACTCTTTGGGACGCAAATTTGTCAGGGCTCACCTCACTCCTTGGGTTGGGTTGTATTCAGTGATATCAGAAGACTCTGTCAGAAAGTTAGCCAAAATGGTTTTTCCACTCTGAAAATGAAAATGAATACAGGTCTTTGCTGAAGAGCAGAAATGGAAACCATAGAAGAGCCCCCCAGTAGCTGGCTGTGAACTAGGTGTGATGGAATATAGGTCATGGCCACCTGAAATCAGCAGGACAGAGGGCTCTCTCTGGTTGGGACCTCACTGCCTTGCTCTAGCCTGGGGGGGCCCAGCCTGGTCTGAGACCCAGGGAGCGTGGTTCTGCTGCTGAGTGACTTTACCCACACTGATTTCCCTGGCTGGCTCTCAGTCAACTTATCTGAGAACACACAAAAAAATAATTTGTGTGTGTCTCTCTCCTTACCTGCTCCTTGTCACACTTTCAAGAAAACATTCTGTTACAGCTATGAAGCCACTGGGGCTCAGAGAGGGGAAAGGAGTTCTTCAAGGTCACACAGAGGATCAAGGTGAGGGTTGAGTCCTAGGTCTGGAGACTCCTGGCTCACTGTGCCACAATCTCACAGAGAGCTATTTCTCCTTCTAGACTATGAGTAATATTATACACATTCGTATTAAAAAAAATCAACAACACAACAAAACAGCCCTCCACCCAAACCATCCATCAGTTCATCCATCCTATTCCTTCTCCAAAGCTTAAAAACTATGATCTGTTTTTCAGGACTTTTATATGTATTTTCATCATTCATTTAACAAATACTGCTGAATACAAAACAAGTTTTCTTCTCTCCCAAAATTATTCCTAAGATGAAAGGCAATCTCTTGTATTTGAGTCCTTATAAAAATCTAATTATGCCCCACTCTCTCAATTACTTCATTATGAACAACAACTGCTTGACTAGAATAACCTCAACCAGTGCCAATCTGGGAGGCTTGCAGATACCACCGACAGAATATGAAAGAACAGAAGGGAGTTTGCGTGCTCAACCCCACGTTAGTAATTTTTCCTAAGGCTGTGTCCTCACAGATTAAATATCACTTAAAAATAACACAGTAAGTGGCTATGTTGTAGAGATTATGAATATTTATTTTTAGGATGAACAAATAAATGTCCTGAGGTTATAGGAACAACTCCTGGGGCTTGGGATACATTTCCAGGAACAAGTGTCATACGCAGATTCAAAAAGTGCTTTTTCCCAAACAACTTAGATGAGTGGAAAGATTATTGGAAAAAGTTTTGGAAACTGTGTGAGGTGATTCAGGCATTTTAGGTATTTTCCAGTGTCTACCTCGTGGCAGGTGCTGGTGAATAGATAGGTGACATAGTGATAGTGCTGGCATGATAAAACAGGGTAATGTGATAGAGACTTTGAAATGAGGTGAGGGGGTCAGGAAGGCTGAAGAGGTCAAGTTTAAACTGAGATTTGAATAACAGCAAGGCCATCCCCCAGAGGAAATAGCTAGTTCAAAGGCCCTGGGGCAGAAATCGGTATAGCAGGCTAAAGGAATAGAAAGGCTGGTAAATTTGAAGAGTAGTGAGGGAGGGGGAGAAATGTACATGTGGAAATATATTTTGTTGTTGAAGCTGGGTGATGGGGACCAAGAGGTCATCATTCTTTCTCCCTTTGTCTGCATTTGAGAATTTCCATAAATTTAAAAAATGATATCTATACTTGTTTTACTTTTCCTAATCTACACATATTGTTGGTTCTTGTCTATTTCTCCACATCAGTACATACAGAGTTGCCTCATTTTAATTGCTACACAGTCTTCCAAAGAATGTACCTTAGTTTACCATCCTAGATATTCTCTTACAGATGGGCTGTTTCCAACTGTTCAAAATTGTACATCACTTATTGGGAACAAGGACAAGTATTTAGTTACAGTAGATTCTGAGAAATGTAATTGCTGCACTATGGTATGCACATTTTAAATTTTAATAATGTGATTTTTTAAAAAAGCTGTTATCAATTTATAGTCCCACCAACAGAATCCTAGCATTCTCATCTCCCTACATTCATCCTAACACTATGTATTATCAAACTTCAACTTTTCCCATCCAACATGATAGATGCTTGTTTTAATTTGTATTCTGCTTCTGCTTGTTTTAATTTGTATTCCTCTGGTTATGAGGTTGAGCACCTTCTCATGCTTATTGGGCAATTTTATTTCTTGTGTGCAGAGTCTTTGCTTGATTTGCTGCTGAATTTTCTCTTTTCTTTACTGATTTTTAAACTTTCCTTGTGTAGTCAGCCTATTAGTCCTTCTTTGTAATTTATTTTGCAAATACACCAGGAATTATGTTCGCTGTGATTTCTTTTAAGGCTTCCCCATTTTTGTGCTGTGCTTAAAAAGATCTTTCTAACTCAAGATCAAAAACCTACCTTTCCATATATTCATCTACTACAGTGGTTCTTAACGTGTCGTCCCTGTACCAACAGTATTAGCAAATATAAATTCTCAGGTCCCTCCCAGATCTACTGAATCAAAACTCTGGGGTGGGACCTAGCAATTTGTGCTTTAACAAGCCCTCCAGGTGATTCTGATGCTCGCTGAAGTTGGAGAATATTCATCTACTACTTCTATATTTTTTTCTTTACACGTTTAGCTTTAGTCCATCTCAATTTTATTTTTGTATATAGTGTGAAGTACACATGTAGATTTAATCTCCATTACCACCACCACACACACATTAAAAGCCAATTGTTCCAAGACCATGTAATAAATAGTCCAGTTTTCCCTCCTGGTACTCCGGTCCCACAGACACATTCATTAGGGACGACCCCGGGGGCAAAGGAAAGAGTCATGAGACCTAGGCTCTGGTTCCAATGAGGCCACTCACTACCTTGGGCCTCCATACCGTGGGGTTCGCCTGTACCGCCTCCTCCGGGCGGCGGCTGGGATCAAGGTCTGAAAGCGCAGGGTTCACCGTAAGAGCAACGGCGCCCGCCGGGGTGGCCGGGGTGGGACTGGGTTCCCGCCCGCCGGGGAGCTGCCGGCGCAAGGCACAGACTGGGGGTGAGGAGCACGTTCACCCGGGCGCCGTGGCGCCAGGCCCAGCCTCACCTCGCAGGGCCCCACGAAAAGGATCTTGGCCTTCAGCATCGTCGTCCGCCGCGGGGAGCTCACCGGAGCCCATCAGAGCCCACCAGAGCCCACCAGAGCCGGCGCGTCGCGGCGGAGCTCAAGTCGCCGTGCTCATTGGCTGCCTTCGTTTCCATGGCGACGAGGAGCAGCCCGCAGGGGCCGACGGGACTCGGCCAGTTCCGGCGCACCGGGCGGAAAGGGGGCGTGCAGGCGCCCGGAAGATCCGAGAGAAGGACGGTGAACCCTGGCGGGAGAGACGCTTCTGCGAGTCTGGCCTCTCTCTTTGTGGAAATGCGGAAAGCGAGTTCCTTGTCCCTTCTGTTCCTCCCGATAACCCTGAGAGTCAAACAGGCCCCCCAGCTGGCGAGCTGGGATTGGAACCAGGCCTTCTGATTGCTTTATCGCTCGGGCATGATACTGTCCACACTGGAAACGAATTTATCACGGCCCTGGGCCAACCTAGAAGAAGTCAGGAAAAAGTCTGGTCTCTGTAAAGCGATTCACCACTCCCCATGGTTTGGATGATCTGGGAGAAACCAAAAGGATGATATGCTGGCATTGTTTAGTCAGTGCAGGTGTCTAGAAACAGTGCTAGACACTGTTAAGGTTGACATTAGGTCAACCTTAAATTACGGAGCCAGGCCAGATTTTCGGACAAGACCATCAGATTAGATGTCTATGTGCCAAGAGTGCGGATACAAAATAAGCCAGCGCAGAAATGGGCTAGCATGACAAAAATTCCCCAAGTGAACCCACTATCACATCTTTAACTTTTGGTAGGATAGTCATATAGTCTTTGTATAACAAAGAACTGTTGAGTGAACAGTAATGAAGAGTCTTCAATTTCAAGATGTCATTGATTGATTAGATAAATACCTTTTGAATGTCTGTTTTATATTAGGCACTCTTAGGTACTGGGGCTGTGCCCCTGCCTCTTGAGGCTTACATTCCAGTGGAGTAGATAGATACTGAGTAAACAAGTAAATAGCATACAGGCATACCTTGGAGATGTGGGTTGGGTTTCAGACCAGCACAATTAAGCAAATGTCACAATAAAGTGAGTCACAAATTTTTTGGTTTCTCAGTGCATATAAAAGTTATGTTTATACTATACTATAGTCTAATAAATGTGCAATTGCATTATGTCTAAACCACTGCATATACCTTAATTTAAAAATATTGCTAAAAAATGGCTAACAACTATCTGAGACTTCAGTGAGTTGTTATCTTTTGTTGATGGAGGGTCTTCCCTTGATGTTGATGGCTGCTGGCTGATCAGGGTGGTGGTTGCTAAGGTTTGGATGACTGTGGCAGTTTCTTAAAATGAAGACAACAATGAAGTTGGCTGCATTGATTGACTCTTCATTTCCTGAAAGATTTCTCTGTAGCATGCGATGCTATTTGATAGCACGTTGCTTATAGTAGAACTTCTTTCAAAATTGAAGTCAATCCTATCGAATCCTGCCATTGCTTTATCAATTAAGTTTATGGAACATTCTAAATCCTTTGTTGTCATTTCAACAATGTTCACAACATCTTTACCAGGAGTAGATTCTATCTCAGGGAACCCCTGTCTTTGCTCATCCAGAAGCAACTCCTTATCCATTAAAGTTTTATCATGAGATTGAAGCAATTCAGTCACATCTTTGGACTCCATTTCTAATTCAAGTTTTCCTGCAATTTTTACCACATCTGCAGTTACTTCCTTCACTGAAGTCAGTTTGGAATCAACGTCTTCCAAATTCCTGTTAATGTTGATTTTTTGACCTCCCATGAATCACAAATGTTCTTATGGTATCTAGAATGGTGAATCCCTCCCAGAAGGCTTTCAATTTACTTTTCCTAGATCCATTAGAGGAATCACTATCTATGGCAGCTATAGACTTAACAAAATGTATTTATTAAATAATAGGACTTGAAAATTGAAATTACTATTTGATTCATGGGCTGCAAAATGGATGTTGGGTTAGCAGGCATGAAAACAACATTCATCTCTTTAAAACATCTCCATCAGAGCCCTTGGATTATCAGATGCATTGTCAATGAGCAGTAATATTTTGAAAGGAATCTCTTTTCTTCTGAGCAGGAGGTTTCAATAGTGAAACAGTAGGTTTCGACAGCTTAAAATATTCAGTAAACTATGCTGTAGACCGATGTGCTGTCATTAAGGCTTTATTTTTCCATTTATAGAGCACAGGCAGAGTAGATTTAGTATAATTCTTATGGGCCCTAGGATTTTCAGAATGGTAATGAGCATTGGCTTCAACTTAGTCACCAGCTGCATTAGCCTCTAAAAAGGGAGTCAGCCTGTCCTTTGCAGCTTTGAAGGCAGGCATTGACCTTTCCTCTCTAGATGTGAAAGTCCTAGATGGTATCTTCTTCCAATATTAGGCTATTTTGTCTACACTGAAAATCTGTCATTTAGCATAGCTACCTTCATCAACGATCTTAGCTAGATCTTCTGGATAACTTGCTACAGCTTCTACATCAGCACTTGCTACTTTACCTTGCACTTTAATGTTATGGAGATGCTTCTTTCCTTAAAATGCATGAACCAACCTCTGCTAGCTTCATATTTTTCTTCTGCAGCTTCCTCACCTCTCTCAGCCTTGACAGAGTTGAAGAGAGTTACAGCCTTGCTCCAGATTAGGATTTAGCACAGGGCTATGTTGTGGCTTGTTTGATCTTCTATCCAGACCACTAAACCTTTCTCCATATCAGCAGTAACACTGTTTTGCTTTCTTATCATTTGTGTGTTCATTCATTGGAGTAGCCCTTTTTATTTCCCTCAAGAACTTTTCCTTTGCATTCGCAACTTGGCCTACTTTTGGTGTAAGAGGCCTAGCTTTTGGTCTATCTCAGCTTTTGACATGCACATGCCTTCATCACTAAGCTTAATTATTTCTAGCTTTAGATTTAAAATGAGATGTGGGACACTTTCTTTCACTTGAACACTCAGAGGCCATTGTAGATTTATTAATCTGCCTAATTTCAATATTTCTGTGTCTCAGGGAATAGGGAGGCTGGAGGAGAGGGAGAGAGATGGGGAATGGCCAGTTGGTGGAGCAGTTAGAACACAAACATTTATCGATTAAAAGCTTGCCATCTTGGCTGGGGATAGTGGCTCACACCTGTAATCCCAGCACTTTGGGAGGCCAAGGCAGGAGGACTGCTTGAGGCCAGGAGTTTGAGACCAGCCTGAACAAGAGCAAGACCCTGTCTCAACAAAAAATAGAAAAAATTAGCCAGGTGTGGTGGTGTAAACCTGTAGTCCCAGCTACTTGGGAGGCTGAGGCAGGAGAATCGCTAGAGCCCAGGAGTTTGAGGTTGCTGTGAGCTAAAACCCAAGCAGTATAACTAAAAGAAAAGTATACCTTTGCATAAACACAATAAAACTTCTAAAAATCAAATATGAAGAGAAGATTTAAAAAGTAGCCAAATTTGGGGGAAGGGGGAACAAATTACCTTGCAAAATGCAATCATTAGACTGTTTGCTGACTTCTCAAGAGAAACAATGGAAGTCAGAAGACAATAGAGGCTGGCAGGGTGGTTCATACCTGTAATCCTAGCACTCTGGGAGGCTGCAGTGTGAGAATTGCTTGAGCTCAGGAGACTAGCCTGAGCAAGAGTGAGACCCTAGCTCTACTAAAAATAGGAAAATTAGCCTGGTGTCATGTTGAAGGCCTGTAGCTCCAGTTACTTGTGAGGCTGAGGCAGGAAGATTCCTTGAGCCCAGGAGTTTGAGGTTGCTGTGAGCTATGACCACACCACTGCACTCTACTCAGAGAGACAGAGTGAGACTCTGTCTCAAAAAAAAAAAATGACAATAGAATAGTATCTTTAAAGTATTGAAAGAAAAGAACAGCTAGCTTAGCTATTTGCAGCAAAAATATCTCTCAAGAATCAGGTGAAATAAATACAGTTTCAAATAAACAAAATGAGATAATTGGTCACTATCAGCCCTGCTGTAAAGGGACTAATAAAGAATGTCTTTTAGGCAGAAGAAAAATGACCCAGGTGGAAGATTGGATGTAAATGAAGAGCACTGAAAATGGTAAATAGGTGGATAA